AAATACACTAACCTCTCTCCTTTGTAGCAACTAAGGCAAAAATGTAACTAATTCAGAAAATCTTTTCAGGACCCCACACTAAGGTGGGGTCCCGACCCCAACTTTGGGAAACACTGGTGTAAAACACCATCTAAACTTTTAATTGTATATGACAGATCCAATTTTAACCCTCACATTTTCTTGCGCAAAGGACATGAATTTTGTGAATTTCCAACTATCCCTGCTCACCGGAGCGAGAAGCTTTAACTAAGATTTTGGTGTCATTCGAAGCAGAACGATCCCCTCTACCAAAGGTTACGCCCACATTTTCAAAATTATTATCTTTGTTAATTTTATGGCGATTTTTCTGAGAGTATCATTTTTTCTGATACACCCTGTATATATATTTTTTGTCCTCCGTCTGTGGCTCCACCTAGGGCTGTGCGATATTTAGACGGTAGAAACGGTATGAAGTTGGTCTACGGTAGAAATTTACCCTCGACCGTCCTATCGTCATTACATCATCACACCTGTGTCAACAGGACTGTGAGTGCAGAGACAACTGAGCAGGAGTTCGAAATATAATGAAAAAAAATCTAGCGTTTTAAAACACATACGCATAGAGAGGATAAATCCTCAAAATTTCCTCCTCCCGCTGTTGAAAAGTTACGTCGTATCGTGGGATCTTTTCCTCCTGCCTCCACGTCGCGCAGAGCGAAACTTTAACAACTGTAGTTTATCACACAAAAAATGCTCTAAAAATTACATTATCTTAACTTTTTATGATAATTTTCTACTGCAGTATATACTGTTACCATGAAGGGGTTCAGTTTATACCGTGATATGAATTTGAGGTCAAACCGCCCAGCCTTAGCTCCACCCTACATGGATGGCGCCCTTTCCGTTTGCCTACACTGCCTCTTCCACGGGCCAGCCCTGGCCCAAACAACAGATTCCACAACATCTTTCAACCAATTCTACTCTTAAAGAATGGTTTAAAAAAGTTATTTTTCCAATTTAACTTCAACAATCTGGAGTATTTTTTATTGGCCCATTTCTCATCCTACTGAAAATCCGTTTCAGTTCCTGTAACAAAACAGAAAGTGTTCCAAGCGTGTAAATACTTTTACAAACCCACTGTAATTTATTTTAATTTCTGCATCGCCGCCTGACTTTTAGTGTCTGTCCTGGCCTCCTGAGTGTGTATAYGTTAGTTAAATCTGCAGACGCCGGGACCCATGCCAAAGACCTCGCGCTCATTAGCCCCTGCTCGCTCCGTTACTGTTCCTGAACCTCGTGGCACCAAAGTGTCTGGCTTCGAGGTTCTAAAACGTTTAGGGACGTTGGCCAAGTCTTGGTCCCCTTGTTAGCTCCCCTGAGTGCGGGCAGATAGCATCACACCACGAACAGCAGCAGCAGTCAGACCCTGAAACTCAACCACCAACCAGCCCCCCTCTTCTTCCTCATAGCCCCAGCTTAATTGGGCCATAATTTTACTGTACGCCACAAAGTGGAGACAGAAACCGTGTGGGGAACGGAGGGGTGGAGGTGCGCAGAGGATCAACTGTGCTCCATAAAGCCCCATTAAAGGATTGCCGTAGCTTTTCCTTGGTTCGCTTTGTCGCTTGTCTGCAAATATTTACACCGAGGTGAGCGYTCCTGCGCGTGCCCGAATCAGAACCGTTCCCGAGGCGGCGTCCCAGCAGCTGGAGGTCTGGAACTGAACGCAGCCCGTTGAAGAATGTGAAAATGGGTGAAGAGATTACCATCTTTTCTTTTGATTCTGTTTTCTCTGGAGCGCGCCCAGCTGGCCCATCACACAAACGTGTCCAGTGTGTAAACATCATCAGCTTTCAGGCAGCAAGGCATAAAGTTCCTGCACAAAAAATAAAAAATAACAATTTACGAAATCAGAACAACTTTACGGTGACTGCTTAATTCAAGTTTCACCTTTTTTCCTTCCTATAAAAATAATAAGTAAAACCAATGGAAAGTTTAAATAAAAATAACAGTTTTTATGAAAAATATAAAGGTTACGATAAAGCCAAACAATTAACAGCCCAGTAAATTGTAGTGTAGAAAACGGGTAAAAGTGTTGTTGGAGAACATCCACGGTTAATGACTTTTATACTCTGCATTCTTCCATGGAAGGAATGTAACAGAGTGAATCCAGCGCCAAGAAATACAGACTCGAGCTTCCAACTCCTCCTTTACTTTCACCTCTCTGCACTCTAATGTCCTCACTTCTCCACGGCACATTCCCATCAGTGTGTCTTTGTCCGCAACTTACACAGGATCTGTGTGTGTGTGTGTGTGT